GCTACACTTATTTCCATGTAAGAAAAGTCAAGATCTTTTGCACATCTTTCAGTTGTTCCATCTGTTTTAAAAACCGTCAGCCGCTGTTCGAGTTATGCCAGGAATGAACCTAAAGACTGGTCAATGACCAGATCTCACTAACGGATGTGTTTGGATTAAGGTGGAGAAGTAACTTTTTTTTCAATCTGACTTTTACAGAAGTCAGATTGGATAAAAGTCAGATAGGGTAATGTGATTTATGTTTGGATTGGATTTTAAAAAAAAAGTCAGTTTGAGAAGCTGAAACTTGTTTGGATGATAAATGTAAAAGTAAGTTTAGATGTAAAATGACTTAAAAGGACATGAATTTTATTAAATAGTTATATCTAATATTAGATATATATATATAATGTGACTATTTTTTAAGAAGAAAATAAAATTATTAAAAGTAAATAAATTTAATTTATTATTAGAAAAAATTATATGTATAATGTGGCCATTTTAAAAAAAGTACTGAAAATAAAATTATTAAAAATAAGAAAATTTAATTTATTGTTATAAAGGAATTATATATATAATGTGACAATTTTCCAACGGAGGAGTGTGTGTGTTTGTGAACTTGTGATTTTGTTTTTTTATTATTGAGGTGAGAGAATATTCATGCAGGGGTGAGGGTTAGGTGGGTAAAAATTTTTAACACAGCTATAAATTTTCCAACGGTTTCTTTCACCCGCCCACAGCACCTCAAAACGCACGCACCAAAAGTTTACTTTTCTGAGAAGCTCACAAACAAAAGATATCTTTTTTACAAAAAAAACATTAAGTAAATAAATGAAAAAATCGCATGGTTCTTCATTTTTTTTTTTCAATTTTACGTTAGTATTTACTTTTGCGATAATTTATGTTCAGTATTTACTAAAAAAATATTATCCTTAATTTATTGTTTTCACTTTTACAACATGTGAATGTCAAAAAGAAATAAACTGTTCATGTCCAGCATCATCATCTCTTCTCTTTCTTCTTTTTTTCTCTCCTGCAACCCCACCATCTCTCACCCCCAACCGCTCATCACTCCAAAAGCCAAAAAAAGTAGCTTCTGCCCAACAGCTCATTAGACCCCATAAGCCCATCACAAAAAGAAGTCAATCCAAACAACTTCACAATCCCAAAAGTAGCTTTTACTGATGGAGATGTACGTTTAGGCCATGAAACGCGATGCCAAACACAACCTACATCTGCTAGCACGGCAGGAGCATTAATGTCATTAATACAAGAGAGTACAAAGAGAAATAATGAATAAAAATTTACTATAAAGAGATAATAACTCGCATATATTTATTAGGGATAAAAGTGAAAAGTTAAAAATTTTAGCCAAAAGATTTATTTCTTGTATTTAAGGACATCAAGAAAGACTTTCTTATAAAAAGGGATGGAGGGAATATCAACTTAATTGGAAGGTGAGGCAGCAATAATATCATCGATGTAAACTGTAACAAGCTAGTAACTTAAAGCACAGAACAAACACACAGGAAATTCCTAAGATTCCTTCCACCCCATGCGCACACACCTCCATGGACGCACAAGCTGATCAAAGTACTCACACAATAAGACATTTTAGCCATGGTAACTTATAAGGATACTAAGTACTAGCAGATGTTTAGGATACCTTGTCCCAACCATAGTCGTTCCAAACAAGAGACAAGTTGCCGGTAATTTTGAAAGGACCATTTTCATAAAACAAAGCCAATTCACTGCTACAACCAGGTCCCCGCGGTTAACCAAATCACAACAGGATCCTTCTTGCTGTTGCGAGATTCAAAGAAGAAGTAGAACATCCTGCCGCATTCAACATATATGAAATAATTATAAAAGAATAAGGACATCATCCAAAGAAACATAAAATAACAATTACAAAGAACCTTTTTGGCGTTGATAGAGTCATATTCGGCTTATGTGAACATTGTAAAGTAAACGCTTAAAAAATTCAGGGTTTACAGCTAGGTGTTTTCAGACATAGGAATGAATCGGGGAATGTAAACCATAATAAACCAACAAATTTGTTCAAATAATTCAAAAGAAAGAGTTAGCCCAGAAAAACTTGAGAGGAAATTCGACCTTGCTGCGTGAGAATGATCGATGTTGTAATAACCAGCATGATGACCCAAATCTTCAAGCGAGACCCGAGATTCCAAATCCACCACATAGGGGAAACTGAACCGCTTCTCAACAATCTTCGGCTCAGCAGAAGAATTACCAGCGAGAATGATATTAATATCCCCGCGAGGGAACAAACTGAGCTCCCTAATGAGCTTCTTCGCCTGAACGGATGGGAAATCATAACCCACCTGGCGAAGATCATCGTCGGTGTTCGAAGACAAAGAAGGCGAGACGAATGCCATAGTCAGCAAGAGCACAGAACACAGGTGGAATCATCCTAAAGAACCCATCTTCTTCATCCCGGGAGAGACCACACTTGGCTTCCCAAAAATAATAGGATGCAGAGGGAGAGAGCGTGCTTGCTTGCAGTTGAAGCAACGAGTACGTGGACAGATCACAGATGGCTATTGCAGCGAGGCTCAATACATATGAACGGAGGACTGTGTGCCCCCCCTCCTAATATCAGAATATTATTCGGAATACAGAAAATTATGAATTCTTGTTGAACGGAGACAAAATTTGATGACGTGTGAAGTTAAGGTATAGGTAAAAATAAAAATGCAAGTTTTTTCAGCTTTCGATGATGAACAGTTACGTAGCAATATATCATATCATTTGTGAATTACAAAAATCTACTTTGAATGAACCCCGAGGGTTAGGTCAGCTGGTTGGGGCTGTCCTAACTTAACCACGGGTCTTGAGTTCGAACCGTGAGAATGTAGCACCCTGAGGGGTCAGAGGGCGCCGACCGAAAGGTTCCTTGCAAGCCTTCGATCCGGATTAGTCTGGGACTGCTGTCACGGCTGAAAGATGCCTATTGCCCTGGGATACCGGAGGAGAAATCCAAAAAAAAAAAAATCTACTTTGAATGAAGCTAGAGACGTAATCAATCAAAATCCCTTGGACGCCAAACTACACATCCGAAGCTGCGATTCCGACCTAACCACCAACAGCAATTCATCAACGCCTTTAACGATCAAACTTGCTGGTGATGTCAGATGTCCCATGAAAGTAACTCTGACATCGGTCAGTCTAGTAAATCTCCGCTCATCCCTCCTAAAGAAAAACCAACTCCTTCCCTCTGTGAAATCTTCGCTCTCGACATCCGTCAACCTCCATAGCAATTTTTTAAAATTATTCCAGAAAGGGAAAAACTGTCCATCAGTCACTCTCGCATTGCATTAAAAGCATTAATTATCCATTACAAATAACCAAAATAATTAAATATGCCAGATTAATTATCCAAATAAACTTGCAAAAACTTTTACGATTAATCAAAACCATTAATGAATCATCAAATATATAACACTAAAGAAAAATAGCCCAAAACGAAAAAACAAAAAATAATTTTGGATCATTACAAATTAAAAAAAAACCCAGCTCAAGACCGGTTGGAAGAGTATTCTTTTCTTTTTGGGGGCCAAAAGGTTTGAATAGTGTTCGCTGGTTCACTTTCTGGCTAGTTCTAGGAGAGTTTGAACCGGACATACTGCTAGCTCACAGGGAGTGTTTGGATGGAAACCAAACTATAGTTTCAAAAGTATTTTTACAGTTTACAAAATAAATATATAAAAGAATTTATCTTATTTTACGGAAAAGTGATTTTGAAGGTTGTTAAACACCCTTATAATCTAACTGATCGAACTGGCCTGTACAGTTCTGACATGACCAACAAATATTAATGTGATATTATGAGTTAGTTCATCAAATTTTTGTAGTACCAACTGGGATAATCAGATCTTTTCAACTTGGTTTGTCTACTTTTAGGGTGTGTTTGGGTGTCTCCCCAAACCAAAATAACCCAACACCCATAAAAAAATTAAAACCATGATTTTGACCCCAAAACCATGGTTTTGGAAAAAGCATTTTGAATATGCTTTTGCACAAAAAATTAGAGAGTGTCATACGGATACGAGGATCTTTTTTTGGGACTAGACACATATGCCCCTTAAGCTTCAATCTTCCGGTCCTTCACTGTTTAGAGAGGTGGTATGTCTTTTTTTTTTTTTTTTTTAACCAGAAAGAGGTAGTATGTTGTTACATTGTACTTTTTTTTATTTATTTCTTTTCTGTTTATAAAAAATTATTCATCTTTTTCAAAAATATTTTTAATCTTATATTTTATAAATATTTTTACACATTTAGTAATAATTAATTAATTATATTAAAGATGAGAGGTAGTATGTTATTATAAAAACTAGTTGTGAAAAAATGTTATAGAATTTCATGTTTAAAATCTTTAAAGAAAATTAATATTTTTCTATTAGAAAAAATAATTATTTTTCTATAAACATATTTAATCTTATAATTTATAAATATATATGCATATTAATTATTAATTAATTATAATATCTTATATATTATTAATTATGTTGGTAAAAATTATTTTGTTAACAATTTTATTCCTTCAAATCAAAATATATTATAAAACCTATCCCTTATATAATTGTCATATTAACTTATGCCCTTTTTAGTAATTTACACAAGTAAAAAATGCTTCTGGTAACAACTATCCAAACACTCTCACTTTTCAGAATTACTTTTTCACAAAATTTATTCTTCAAAAAATCTATTCTCCAGAAGCTATTCTTCAAATCATGGTTTCCAAACACCCCCTTAATAGATATTCGTTTAGTTACCTCACACCTCTGTCTTATTCTCGAGTGTGAGGAGGAAACCAGGTTTTTGCATCCGTTTCGTCGATTCACAACATAAAATAACCAAATTAAAAGTCAAATATACAGTAAGAAATCAAAAGGATGGTTAAATATTTTATTTATTACTTGTAATAAAATAATTCTAGGTAAAAGGTAATCGTATGGCAGAGTTATTTAAAAAAAAAAAAAACACACACATCCAAGAACCTTGTAAGAAACGGCTTATAAAAGTGCAGTGATGAAACATATCAATTGGTTTTTCTCTTAAATCAACGAGAACTAGGGACTTTCCATCTGTTTTCTTGCGAAAAAGAAAAAAATGTACTAGGAGGATAAAGTAATGATCCTCAATAGTATCCCTCTCTTATAACCATCATGACCAGTGAGTGGCAAATGAATGGAGCTTTAAGGCTTTACAGGGTTCTTGCTTCAGTCGACATTTATTTCAACCTTGGAACAATTAGTCAAAGAGCCCGTCGTCATGCCAAATATCAACCAAGAAATCTACCATCTCCTGCATCAAGTGACCAATACATCAAAATAACATCACGGAGCACAGATTCAGAAAGTTTTTGAGGTTTCCCTCAACTACTCGTACAACATAATGATAGGGAAATCTAAAAACCATCTTCAATGGCATAGATTAGTGAGCTGCGGAGATGCCTTGAGGGCATCACTTTATAATCATCATTCAATGTCCCTTCGATCTCAAGGGTACAGACTTTCTATCTCTCGCATATGTCGCCTTTTTAAAGGAGTCAAGGATGCAACAAAGTTGAAATACTATGTTTTTATTAAAGGACTTGCAGCAAATATCTAAGAAAATGCAGGCAAGTTTTATCCTTAGAAAAATTTCGCCGCATTAATTATAAGTATTACTTCATGATTTTGATAGGCATATGGCTGTGTATATGTTCATGCAAACGATAGAATCTTACCGGCAAAGGTATTGGCTCTGCAAAAGGTTCATTAGTAGAAAGTAACTCTTCATATGACGTCGACCAACTGCATCAAGGATATTTTAAATTGTTTAGAGCAGCGATAATTGAAATTTTTTATGTAATTATTACAAGCATAACTTTAGCACAACCCCGTAACAAGGAATACTAATCCATCTGCCATTTTTCAAACTTCGTAGTAGATGAGAATTTGGCTAAGTATACATGGAATAAGTTTCAATAAACCTGGAGAAAGACTTGTATTCTAAAGAGAAAAGAGAGAGAATCACCAAGTAACCAATGTAAACATTTTTCACTGCTACAGAATGCATTGCTGACAGGGAAGGATTAACACCCAAAAGATAGGAGTTGTCTGTGGATTAAAAAAAAAATATTGTATAACTACGGATTATAGAACCCATAATCCTAGATAAAACTTTTTTTTTTTTTCCTTTTTGTGATGAGATTGTCCCCAGGATCAACCTACGGCCATCCCTAAAAATTATAACAGACGCCCTAAAGGCGGTGAGCCATGTGGAGGGGATAAAACCACTGGCACTGGAAACAACAGGCCAAAGAGATGAGAAAGAGAGTCAAGAGACGAAAAGGGAAGAGGACAAGAAGTAAGATTTGCTCTGCCATGATAAGGGGATGCTTAGGGAGTTGTTGAGAATGTCTTTTTGATAGAACTGAGTTCCAGTTACAAGGCACTTTTGGACCAAACACCAGAAAGTAAAGAGAGGACCGGCCTCTCAAAAGCCAGCTGTTAGTTTTGGGAATATCTGTAAAAGCTGATGCAGGGTATTTTAGAATGATCCATACAAATTCAAGTTCTTTCTATCTTTTGCTTCTCTTTTCTGTATTCTGGCGTTCTGTGTGAATATACCAGGGCCTAACAGTTGAGCATGACATTAATCATTAACAGATGAAACAGTTTCATTCTCATTGGTTGTGCGGCAGTTGTCATCAGTTAATAAATAGAATTCAAAGGAGCACTGGTTTACATATCTAACCAAGAGAACCACCACATTCTCAAATATTCGATAAGGATTCACAGATTCAGTTCCTCCGATAGGGAGGGTATACCTAATAATTGGGTCTTTAGCCATTCTTGGTGGATGTTGAGACTTATCTCCAACCCACTTTCTTCTCTCCTCATGCCATGCAATTGCAGCTGCATAGTATATTCATCCATATTAGGCCTTAAATAACAAGAACTTACAAGAATTGAGATTAGGGAAAAAAAATTATGACTATGACTTTATCCTTTCTTTCAATCTATTAACTACTTCCTAGAGAGTTAACAATTCGAAGCTTGTTGTCTCCCACTCAGATGGCCATGAACTCATGACTACCAACATGATTGGAATACGCAGATTTAAATATCCTATAGTAGCACATTGACTGGCCACAAAACTTAATTCTAGGATCTATTGTTATCATATATTGGTGGCTCAGTTTCCCAGAGCCCGAAGTTTTATGTATCTGATACAAAAGGAATTCAAAGAAATTGGTAGGGGAAATCAATTGCCGGAGACAGAGTGCTCATAAAATTTATATAACAAAAACGTAGAATTTAGATTTTCTGTTTGACAAACCACAGAACGGAAATAGAACTAGCTTCCTAGAAACTGACATGTCTGTTGTCACAAAGCTCCCGTTTAAGAGTCTTTCTAAGCATTGTTTTTTTTTTTTTTTGTTTATATTTTTACTTTTACTTTTTAGAAATATAGGATGTTATTTACCATGCAAAGGTTAAGGGATAGGTTGTAAACCCACAAAAAATCAAGATCGCCTCAATGACAAAGACTTGGGTTGGTCCCATATGAGTTATCAATTCATTGGCAATTTTCTTGCCACCTCAATCAAGGATTTCTGATGTTTTCGCCCAACCATTTCAAAAGAAAATTTTAAAGATTGTTTTTCGCAACAGCTAACCATTGGTTCTCCTATAACCTCCCTATATAAGAAGGATGTTATTCAATACTGTCCCTACACCAAATTCTTCCCAAAAGTCTATGGATATACTTGAATCATCCTTATAATCAGCATCAATAGTGACAAATACCAATAAGATGAGTTTATTGATTTTTGTACAACAGCCTGGTTACAAAGAGATGATAACATGGTTTAAAGAGAAGAAAACATGCATCTATCTGATTGTGTGATAATCTCACCATGATTAACAAAAGAGGAAGTGTTTGTCAAATTTGGCTTCCCACTGATACGAGTACTTCTATATCCCTTTTCACAAGGCATTTTCCCGTCATCTGCTGTTGTTGAATGCTTCAAGGTTTGCAACCTATTGGAATGTGAACTAACTGCACTGACTTCCATCACATCCAAATTGAGTGATCATTCCACACAATAATTGCAAAATAATAACATCTAGTGATTATTTCTTCTAGAATGAGCTCCAAGCTCCGTTACAGTTTTCTCCTTGAAATGACACAGTATTTGAAAAGAACTGATGCTCCCCAAAATTATTTCAGCTGCATGGATAAATAATTATGAGGGGAGAGGAAAAAACAAGGGAAAAAAGAAAAAGAAAAAGAAAAATATGATCAAAGTTCCATTTCTGTTTCCCATGGTACAGTAATTAAATCACAAAAAAGAAAAATGAAGCGCATATCAGAGGAAAAACATTATGAGGGAAAATAAATGATATGCTAACATCACCAATTAGTCGCACAGATTGTCCTTCTACACTGGTTTTTCACATTATATACCTTCGGTAACGTGGTATAATTCATCTTAAATTTATGGTATGACTTTACAGTTTTCCCCCAAAATTGAAGGCAAGAACCTTCCAGCGCAGAAACCCGTTATACCCTCAAATAGAAAATATAGTAATGGTTTTTTGGCAAAGCGAAAAAAATGTTCTTCAGTCCTCTCAGCCCTTCATTGGAGCCCTATAAGATTTCACATGGCTCATATTTGCAAGGAAACCAGCATACGACATCATCTTCCACAGAATACGACCCAACTTAAAGCTTCATTTTGCAGCCAATGATTGAAACTGAAATGACTGAATAGAAGAATACAGAGTCTCACCTCAAACTGTGGACTACCAGAATGCATTTGGCAATAATTTCCCTGCTTTATTTCAGCTAAAAGAACTCCAGTTGGAACTATAAGAGAAACCCATATAGAGTGAAACCTAGTCCTTCATTGCTCTCCCCTAATGGCTAATTCTAAACAAGAAACTTGATGCTGTTCTCATCCAAATCAAGTTTAGCTTGAATTGGGATAACAGGTATCATAGACCAGATAAATCCTAATTCTTAAAGCACTGATTCAACCTAAAGCTATCAATTAGAGAGGTCATAATACTTTTGAAAACCTTATGAAGGATGATATCAGATAAAGTCTCTGGTTAAATATTGATCAGAAGATAAAACATGAATTCTTCATTTTCACTCATTGGTGCAGGAAAAATTAGTCGAAACTTAGGGTGATTGTTGATTTTCCGTCCAGATCTGGGACTAATTACTGAAAGATAAGAATACCCATTTTCCTACTGGATTTTATATCATTCTAATTTAAAGCACTTAACAAAGCTCCCAATCAAACGAAAAGGCAAAGGAATGTAAGATAATTCAAGGACTTATATTTTGGCTATTGTCCTGCAAACTGATATTCAACTCTCACAGTAAGCAATTTTAACACTTCTGTCGGATTGAATTGCATGATAAGAAAAAAACCGCATCAACAAAATAAATAAAATCACAGAACGAGTGAGCGAGCACGCACAGAAACATTTAGGGGAAAAAAATTTGGCCCAGCATATCCAAGACAGAGACAAATCCCAGCAAGGACTTCCCTTAAGAAGCAATGCATTTGTCAAAAATTCAAAATCACAAACCAAGAACGGCGTCGCGTCCAGAATCAGAAACCAAATTTTGAAAAGGAGAATTGGGCAGTACCATGTCGTCCTTTGCTCACGTTGGAGCACAGAATGATGATGATAGAGGGACAGAATGCAAGGATTCTTCAACATAGGATTCTGTAACATATATGGGACTTAAAGGACAAGGACGATGCTTCGGCAAAAATATAAAAATAATAGGGGAAAAAGGGAAGGAAAAGGACGATGCGCCAGTAAATTTCGAAATGTCAATTTCTGATCTTGTTTGATTTGGATGTGATGGTGGGCATGTATCTGGAGGACGCTGCACAGTTTTATTGCCTGGATAAATGCTGTTGGAGTACCAGCGATATGACCATAATACTCTCCACCTACTTCACATGACATGGCGAAGAAATGGATGTGCGAGGGCATTTTAGTCCTTGTGTGACTCTCTCTTTCTAGAAGCCGGCAAGGGGCGACAAAACGCAACCGCGGACACTGGGAATTTAGGATTAACTAGCCACGACCACCATGTGCCCGAGCCCAAAGCGGCGAAATCTTAAAAATTAAATTCGGACAGCAGGTTATGTCCTGAAAGAAATTGCTAAGTTGTCTGAGGTGGATATCTATGCATCCTGATTACCATTCCTCATTATTGATTTAGGAACAATTTTATTTTTGATTTAAAGTATACATTTACTTCTTTTAACTTTATACAAAATTTTAATTTGGTCTTTTAATTTAAAAAAAATATACTTTTAATTCTTTAATCCTAAAATTTTTTTAAAAAAATGTGACATTAAGATTTTAAATGTTAATAAAATATTTCAAATGCTAACCTATTAAGTTTAATTTTCAAAATATCTATTATTGTTACAAAAAATAATCATTAAAGTATAATGATTTAGGATTAAAGAACTAAATGTATGCTTTTTAAAGTTAAGAGACTAAATTAAAACTTTATATAAAATTAAAAAATCAAATGTATATTTTAACCAAATATTCGGGTGTTTTTTTTTATCCGACCTATGTCAGAGCCTCTATCTCGTCCCTTCTCCGTCTTCAACATCCTTCCAAACTACTACTTTAACACCTCCAAGTTCTTCTCCTTCGTCCGCCTCATTACGTAACGTTTGGATAAAAATTAAATTATAATTTAAAAGTAATTTTATAGTATATTAAATAAATATGTAAAAGAGTTTGTTTCAATTTATAAAAAACTTTTTATTTTTAAAAATATCCAAACACTTTTTAAATCCTAATGCTTCAGTCTTCTTCTCCACCTTCATCTAGAATTGTGTTCATCCAAATTTGTCCCCCCGTGGTTTCTCTACTATCCAGATTCTAGAATTCGATTCTGGTTATTGAGTTGATGGTTTTTCCGCATCATTCGACTAGAAAATACACAACCGGAAAAAGGCTGATCCTCACCCTCCTTCCATCCAATCATATCGTTTTCACCTACACAAGGGGCAGCGGATGCCTCCTCACAAATGGGACCCTCCCATTTTTGTCTTCCCCTCTCGTGGCAGATTCCTGAGTCCAAGAATAATAAAATAAAATTCATATAATGAGTCTAAACCGCATCAAGATCGAACCACAAGTTTCATCACCAATACTCCCCACAATTTCATCAACAATACTTCATTTTCCGAGACTTGATTATAATTCTCCTAGCTTTTTTGTCAGTTACGTGCGCTTTCATATTCAGTTCCAAGTGCGTCTTACGCTACTGTTCTCATCCGGTCTCCGCATTGTTCTTCATCGATCCCACCTATTTAGATTTAATTCGCTCCGATTCTCGACAATTCCAGCGTCTTTTGCCTCCGGGCAAGCTCCAGTGAGCCTTATTTCTCCATTCTCATTTCTTAAATAATCTGTTTAGCCCTTGTTTCAAGAGCTCTCTCACGGCTTGATTCTTGAGGAAAATTACATGTTATTTATATCAAAGTGGTCATTATTTCTTTCAATTTTCAATATTTTTTCTTCAATGGAAAAAGGATTAGACTTCCGTTGTTTCCAATCCACAAACTCAAAACTGATATGCTGTATGTTGTTTTAACCAATTGGTTCAAGTTTTGCCGTTTTGGTGAGATGGGGACGAAGTTAAAAGTCACTATATGTTTGAAATATTATGATTTTACTATGAGTAGTTAACTTGAAAATATGTGCGGGATAATTTCTGAAAAATTTTAAGAAATTGATTGATATGGAGTTTAATTTCTTTTGCGGTTGTCAGACTATTAGCCCCCTAATTCCTTGACATGTCTATACTATTATAAGATTTTGCCTGATAAAGTAAGGTACAATTCCCCTTTGTCACGTAAGTGCCCATTCTGTATTGTCCCCCTCATCCTTCTTTCCGTTCTCCTTTTATATCTCGAATTCCCCCTCTTTCTCCTGCTTGCCCCATTCTTTAGTATTCTCTGGCACTTTTATTTGGTTTCCTTCCTATGTTTGTCCTTGCACTTGATTATTTTTCTAATGTATTTCCACTCAATACTATTTCCCGTGCAAGGTCATATTCTCTAGCAAAGACATGATATCCTCATTCTCACTGATCAATGGCATTGGTTTTTAGGTTCATTTCATTATGTGCATTTGATTGTAAAGAATTTGGATTTCAACTTTTCTGCTCAATATCTTTAGAGTGTGGGGTTTTAATGTGATTCGTATGTGTACTAGTCCAAATCGAAATATTTTGTTGTCAAATGACTCAAATCCAAGTGCTTCATATGCAATTTACCGCTCATGCTGTAGCATCATTTTGGTACAGTGTGGGCCGTCTTTTCTTTCTCAACATCATTCTAACTCATCAAAAGGATTACAATGTGTTTGATATTGCAGAAAACTTGTAGAGTTTATACGTTCAACTAAAATGTACATCCAATTGTATGTGGTCTATTTCAATTGAAACTATTTATGAGTTTTCCGCTATTGATGGTTTTGTAGAGATGAGTGAATGCTTGGCAGTGACAACTAAATTTGTGCCTAATGAAGCATCAAGTGGGCTTTTCTTTGTCTAGCAACATGCTCAAAATGTTGTACCTAATGTCATCAAACTAAAAAGAAATGTTGCTAAGAAATCTCATAAAATAACTTTGCCCACAGAATATTTTGAAGACTCTATTACTATGATGAGATCTATGAAAAAAGAGTATGGATTCTCCATAGCTAATGAGATGATCGGGGATATCAGCAAATCTCTAGTAACTACGACAACGAAACAACCAAAACGAGGGATAATCCAATCATGGACTTTAGATTTCCATACAGGCAGAATTAGCTCTGGTGGTTAATACTCGGTTTTACGCCCTCGCAGTGAAAAAGGGGGTAATTATTTTTCCAGTGTGCTTAAGTCAGCAAAACAGAAAGCTAGTAGTCTAAAGTGGCGACAACTTTATCCTTTAGAGCCAATGGATTACAAGGATGACAAGCCTCTAGCGTACGCTAATCCAATATTATCAATAATGTTTGCAAGCACTACGTCATCTCTACAAGGCATGGGAACCGACGAGCTACCTCTATCAAGCCAGGTTGTAGATGAATCTCAACAACTGGAAGAGAGTGGGGCTACTGATTGTGGGAATAAGTTATTGTTGGCATCAAAAAAGTACGATGATTTCAAAGCGGATAAAAAAGCTAAGTTGGAGGATTGGCTGGAAGGGAACAACAACTCTTAATGATAGCTGCCTAGCGGTTAATGATGCAGGAAAGGTTTCAGCTAGTCAACACTTGGGAACAAAGCTTAATTCAGCTTGTATTGTATGTACTGTATGTGCAAGACAACTAGTTGTTTCTGGAAAGAGATCATAAGTAAAATGTTTGTAACATAGTAAAATGTTTGATCATATTCGTAACGATAGTTTGGCCATTTTGAACCAGTAGCTTTTTTTTTAGAAAGGATGCGATTGCTCTGCTATCGTCAAGGAATTTTGCATTTTCATGACCCATAAATCCATAATGAAGTGTATAATATGAATTTTCAACCCGTCAAAACGCAAATTATACATATAAGCAGCCTAACCATGCAACTATTAGCCAAAGCTAAGGATTCTCGATAAACAATGTGCCTATAACTGCTTTAAATCTATGTAACAGATCATAATGCCAAGTAGTCAGCTGTTATCAAAATAGAAATATAGCCTCAGTTGTTAAGTTTACGACGTAACATAATTCAAATAACATATGGAGATTTTGAAACTGTCAAATTCAACTTTACAACAACGGCATCTTCGAATCATCTTTTAAAAAGACCACACATTGCCCTCAATATTTGTACCCACACCGCAACTCATTCAATCATTTACTAAGATTACAACTTCCACGTGCACAAAACATCATGAAGGATCTGATAGACTAATAATATGTTTGGTATGTAGAAAAGTCTACCCCTTTCTAAAATCAAAGAGAGAGAAAAGTAGACTCCTTATTTGATATATTAAAGCATAGTGTTACTAATGAAAGTTGATTCAGTTAGTAAAAAATTAATTCAACTTATAAAGTCATAAGTTTCGAATCTTCTTGCTAATATAAAACTTTATTAGTTGGTGATATACAAGTATCTCTGTAAATGCTTTTTGAGTTTGAAAGCATGCTTTGACCTTGGTAAGTCTCGAGACCCAATTTACCCAAACTTTTTTTGATTAAAAAAAAAAAGGCCCAGTGTTATACTTTCCAGACATAGCAAGGCAAATAGACTTTCTGAAACCCCCTCTCATTGCTTATTCCCATTTCTATTCTTGTACCAAACATAGCATAAATTCATAAAATGCTCTCCGAAACATCCTAACATTTCAATCGGTAATTTATTCATCAGATAATTCAGGCATTTTTTTCTCAGGCCAAGACATGATTTAATCCTTTAAAGTTGATGATATGTTACCACTTCCAGTCATCTTAACTTTTAGTGGGCCAACTTTTTAGCCCATATGCATTCCTAAAGCTAAAGTTTTAACAAACCATTACCTTACTTGAACCTAGGGAAAAAAGGAAGAAAAAGATGGAATATGATATGATGATGAAACCACACCCGCAACTCAGACCCGCAACTGGAACAGGAACACATGCAAGTCAAACCAGCAAGCTATTAGTAAACAATACTGAACGAATGTCATCTTATTCTACAATACTTCCTCAAAGCCATGCCTTATTTGACTTCTGGGTCGATGAATTGCAGTTGGGAGGTTAAATTATGAGTTAAAAGCACATGCAAAATGTTGCAAAAAACTACAAACAGGGGAAAGGCATGAGTAAAATCCACGAATTCATTGTAATTTAATGACTGTTCAATAGATCAATTTCAAAAATTCCAGTCAACTTTACAGTGGCAGAAACAAACTTGGCACATTATAGCATCTCTAGTCCTTATCTTCAATAGCGAATTTA